CATAAAAAACTTATTTATACTTCATTACTTATTTTTCTTCAGTTTGGCCAATTGAATTTTTTTTGTTCTCTCAAATAGGCCAAACGCTCTGCATCCCAGTTTGTGGCATGAGGTTTCATTCTTTGATGGCATCAAGCTACAAATGCCTTGGGAATTGCGAGGTTTTGCTGGAAACAGATGTGAGCTTCAAATAACCCCACAAAGAAAGAGAGCTGCATTCTTTCTGTTCTGTGATGGGGGTTGGGGGGGGAGGTGGTGGTAAACAAAAAAACAGAAATGATCAACTCCTAAATTGCAAGTCACGCTGGGCTTTCTTTTTACTAGTTATAAAGTTTTGACTTAAAGGATTTGGAGGAACAGCACCGATGAGCTGGGAAATTAAGATGATTAGAATCTTTTAAAGCTTTAGAAATGGTGGTGAGTCTGGGATTCACTGGGTGTAAATAATGGCTGAAAAGAAGAAGCAACGACAAAGATCAGGGTGTTGAGGAGAATGTGTGACCCTTGTATTAGACTTTATAAACTGGGTACCCTGATGCCAATGGGAATATCTTATTATTTGCATGTGACATGTTCAGCACATGGGAGTGGGTGTAATGAAATATTTAACCCAGTTGCTGTTAATATTTCCCCAAATAAAGTTGGTCATTCGTTTTATAGTTCTTTTTGGGACATTGCTGTGAGAAATTGGGCTGCTGCGTTTGCTAACAAATATACAGTCACTCCACTTCATAGTAAATCATCCTTCTGACATGAAAGGCAGTATTCTAAATGCAATCATTATTATTGTTATAAGATTTCAGAAATAAATTAGGGTTGAAAAAGCAATCTTTTAGGAAAATAGCAAGCATAAATGATACCTTGCACTGGAAAAAGCACCCTAGGATGCAAAGCGAGTCTTCTCTAGCGAATCCCACTTACGTCACACTGACGCACAAGAGCCCAGCTTGAGTAGGAAATCTTGAGTAGGATTAACAAGTACAGTTACGCATGATGCATAGAGAGTTTGCTGCAGGGGATGTTCTGACTTTATGTCCGAGATTTCTCTGTGGCATTGAATCTCCCATTTACACCTTTATTTTGCTGACCAGAGCTGTTTGAACCCATTGTGTCCCAATAGCTTTTGTGTAAAGACACCACTTGATGTAGTGCTGAAGCGTACAGACCAGAAGTCTGTGTGCTTGAATCTTGGTCTTTCCTATGTTAGCATAGCATTTTGGGCCTCTACGATTGACCTCAGGTTATATGTGACAAATTGTTCATCCTCCTGGTCCATATTCAGGCCTCCCTCCTATAAAGAGTATTTATGAAGATAAATATATAATGGAGATCTCCAGCCTACTGACAATTTACAATGTAAATTGTAATAATCCTTGCACTTGATACAGCGCTTTTGGTATTGGGAGGATGCCTCAAAATGATTCACTGTTTATTTTGTTGGCGATCAACTCTTCTAAATGAAGCACGGTCACTTTGGTGAGGGACCAGAGAGCAGGTGTACTTGAGCAAGAGTCTGCAATCTCAGGAAAACAAGGGATAAGATTGTCAACATAAAATTATCTTTTGATAGTTATAGGCTGTCATGTTATCTCCTCTGACAGGACAATCTGGTCACATTTTTACATCATCCTCTTCCAATTCTTAGTTTCTAAACTCTTGTGTGTCCTTTTCTCCCCTCTTTCAAGATGTTGGCAAAGAAAATACACAGTCATTATACTTCACACATCCATGGCCTTGCCCCCTCCTACCTCTCTGTCCTGCTGACTTCCTACCAACTTGTCCGCTTCCTCCATTCAGCGGGCTCTGGCCTGCTCCATGACCCCCTCCCGACCCGCCCTACCATCATTGGCCGGGCTTTCAGCCTCTCTGCCCCAATCTCTGGAACTCCATCCCATGGTCCCTTCGCCTCGCTTCTTCCCTTGCCTCCTTCAAGGCCGGTCTCAAGACCCTTCTCCAACCGTGCCTCTGGGCTCCCTCCCACCTCTCTGCTACCCTTACCCCTACACCACCCCTACCCCATGCTCGGGCCCCGACATCTGACTGTTCAGTGCTTTGGGACGTCCTCCCGACGTGAAAGGCGCTCTATAAATGTAATTTTGTTGTTTTGTTTACAGTAAAATCCTGTGAAACGCTTAGGATATTTTCCTGACATGAAAGATGAAATGTCAAGTGCAAGGGTTGTTATTGTTTTATAGCATCACTACCTTAGGGAGGCACTTCTTCTCGTGGCACAGCAAATGACAAACCAAAGTTGCTTTCAACTCTGGCTTGATGGCTAGAGTGAAAACAAGGCCAAGGATTTTAGCTGGCAAACTATCTGCTCAGGGCTGAGTGTTCTCACCTGCCTCGGTTACTAGATGCTTTCAGCACTGCTATATTTTTTAAAGTCAAAGTCCTTGAAACTTTTTGGCAGTAAGTTCAGAGCAGATTGTAGCCCGATCTTGCTGGCCGTGTGTCAGATTAATGTGTGTAAAGTCTATTAATAATAATAAATAACAAACATGCATTTGATATAGTGCCTATTCCATTCCTATTAGATGGAAACATCTCAAAGTGCTTCACAGGTCAAGTGCTGTCAAGTGTATTGACTGAATTTTGTATTAGATTCTGGTTTGCAAAAAAAGCTGACAACACAAAACCATCATGAGACTTGGGTCAGAAGACTGAAACGAATTTTTGTATTGGTTTTAAACATACATTCACTACAATTTATGGAAAATCCTATGATGTGCTCTGAGACTTTGCAATATAATAAGGTGCTATATCAATGCAAATGCAAGGATTCTTGTGAAATTCACAGCAACAGAAGGTGAAGTTGCTTTCTGTTTCAGAGGAGAAAATGAGAACTTGCAAGGATGAAGAGACCATTTACCACGGATTTGTTTTTTAGTGGGAATATGGAATAGGGAAGAGATGAGTTGAGCAAATTCTAAGTCCCAATTGTGGCACTTTCACAATACATATTGAAGGAAAAGCTTCTCTCTTATCACTACTTTGACTTTGAGATATCTGAAGGCTTTTTATGGTCTGTTGCAAAATTTGGAGGAATGTAGAGTTTCAGAAAGATAGCTTGTAGCCAATGGGTGGTTGCAGAATTCCTTTCGGGATGCGTACACAGAGGTAGAAGGGACGTGTTGACCAAAGGTGTATTTAATCTCAAACTTTTACAGGGTTCTCATTTTACCACGGAGATGTGTGGCACAATATAGTTTCCAATAACTGAGCTGACTGAGAGTCACTGGTGTCAGTTGAGTTGCAGACAATTCAGGAACAGTTGAAAAATGTGTGTGTCATAAGTCTCCATAGGTATAAAACTTTGAGCGGGTTCTTTGTACACATTTAAGGAGGATTATTTTAATACTTCAATATGTTGCCTATCTATAAATTTGCTGCTTTATTAAAGGGGAGGCTGAGTATTAAACTGATTCTGCTCATATGCTTACAACTTTGTGTGTCAGGCTAGTTCAGGTTATAGTGCTCTCACCTCTGAGTCAAGCCCCAAGTTGGAACTTTGAACTTGTATAGTCTACAGTATGACTCCAGTGCAGTGTGCTACGTTGTTAGAGATACTGTCCTTTAGGTAAGATGTTAAATCAAGGAGCTGTCTGCCTGTTTAAGTGGACATTAAAGATCCCACAGCACTAATCGAAAAGAGAAGGGAGTTTCTCCCAGAGTCCTACCCAACAATCCTCACATCAAAAGTATCAAATCCGTTCACTGGCCAAAGCTTTCTTAAGTACAATACACAGAATGAGTGTTTGGCTATAGGCAGTCAATTAATCAAGAAATTAAGTGAACAGCAAAAAAATGAGGATACAAATTATGCTTTTTTGTCCAAGCAAACTTGAATTAACATTTCCCTCATGTAACACATGCCTAATAATTGAATGGTCTGGCAAAACTGGGAACCTGAATTTAGAACTGATCCCCCCCACCTCTCTCCCACTCACCATAGCATGCTTTAAGTCTTCAGGTCTCACTGAGCCAAGTTTGAACATCCCGTCCCTTGACTCTTACCTAATATCAGAGAAACCATACTTAGAATACTGTGTGCAGTTCTGGTCCCCACATTATAGAAGGGATGTTGAGGCACTGGAGAGGGTGCAAAGGAGATCCATGATCCCAGAACTGAGAGGTTATACCTCTCAGGAAAGGCTGAACATACTTGGACTCTTTTCTCTTGAAAAGATGAGGGTATGGCGTGACCTGATAGAGGTCTTTAGAATGATGAAAGGTTTTGATAGGGTAGACACAGGGAAGATGCTTCCACTTGTGGGGGAGATCAAAACCAGGGGCCATCAATATAAAATAGTCACAAATAGATCAAATAGAGAAGTTAGAAGAAATTTCTTCACACAGAAAGTAGTGGGAATGTGGAACATGCTACCACAAGGAGTTGTTGAGGCAAATAGCATAGATGTATTTAAGGGAAAGCTAGATTGGTACATGAGGGAGAAAGGAATAGAAGATTATGTTAGAAGGCTTAGTTGAGGGAGGGCAGGAGGAGGCTCATGTGGAGCATAAACAATAATAATCCCTCCAAAACCAAAAACAATAATAAATTGGTCATTTTCAATCTGCGACTGTTTGTGGGACATTGCTGTGCGCAATTGGCTGCCGCGTTCGCCCACAAAAAATACAGTCAATTCACTTTACAGTGTGTTCTGTGAAGCGCTTTGGGACGTCCTCCCGACGTGAAAAGTGCTATATCAAATGCAAGGATTATTATTATTAAACACCAGCATAGACCAGTTGGGCCGAATGGCCTGTTTCTGTGCTGTATATTCTAATATATTTGAATGTAGGACATGAATTTACACATTGTGATCTGATTTTAAAAAAACACAGCTGGATTCCCAGAGAGAATGAAGGTTGGATATTCTGTTGCAGTGGTGGGAGCATTTAGTTGGTTGAGTGATTGAAAGTTAAGTGCTCTGCAGATTAAGAGTGAATGGTGTGAGACTGCTTTTCCTGATGAACGTCTTCTTTGTTTCCTTCAGGAGACGTAGTCTTTGGAGCTGAGAGGACCTGCTGACTGCGGAGGCTCCAGTACTATTTTGTTCCATTTTTATGGCATAAAAATGAATGTATTTCAAGAGGATTAACTGAAAAAACTAAGGTAAATGGAAAAAACATTATCTCAATTGTGTTACATTTTTAATTTTTTTTTAAAAATCCTGCTGATTTTATGTTCCAGTCGTTTAATTCTCTGCTCGTGAGTGAACTGCAAGCAAAGTATTTACTGATGCATGTTTATTGTTGTTTACCCTTGATCCAAAGTATTTTTTTTGTCAGGATGTCAGTTCTTTGAAGTTTCTCCCCAGGCTTCCAAGGTTGATTCGGTGATCTGCTCTCAGACCTTAGATAGGCATTCTGACAATTGGGCTGGGGTTGTCAAAGTCTGACCATAATCTGACAGTGGCTTTTACTCATCCTTTTTGCGGGAGGATTAGGTCGGAGATTTCTGCCACTTCATTAGTTCTACTTCAACGGAGTCAGCTGTGCAGTGTGGAGATTGAATGTACATGTTGTGGTGCTGCGACTTATAACAACAACAACTTGGATTTATATAGCGCCCTCCACGCCGAACGGCGTCTCAGAGCACTTCACAGTAATGGATCCCGGGGCCGAGCCAGGGGAGGGGGAGGAAGGTGACCAAAGGCGCGGTCGAAAAGAAAGGTCTTCAGCCGAGACCTGAAAATAGGAAGAGAGGGAGCCAGGCGAAGGAAGGGAGTTCCAGTGCCTCGGGGCGTAGTGGCTGAAGGTACAGCCGCCGAGGGTGGAGCGGAGGACTCGGGGGACGAGGAGGAGGCCAGACCCAGTGGAACGAAGGCAACGGGCATTGTTTTGAGGAGAGAGGAGGTCAGAGAGGTAGGGGGGTCCAGAGGAGTGGAGGGATTTGAAGACAAGAGTGAGGATCTTGAAGTCGATCCTCTCTGGGACAGGCAGCCAGTGCAGTCTGGCAAGGACTGGGGTAATCGGGGAACAGAGTTTGGTGTGGGTAAGAATGCGGGTGGCAGAGTTTTGTATGACCTGGATTTTATGGATGGTAGAGAAGGGGAGACCGGCGAGGAGGGTGTTTGAATATCCAGCCGAGAGGTGACAAAGGCATGGACGAGGGTTTCAGCGGCTTTTGGAGTGAGGTATTGGTGGAGACGGGCGATGCATCGGAGGTGGAAGAAGGCGGTCCTGGTGAGGGACCGGATGTGGGGCGGGAAGGGTAATTGGGGGTCAAACCTGACGCCTAGGTTGCGTACGGGTTCGGAGAGTTTTAGGGGGAGGTCGGGTAGGTGGAGGAGGTGAGAACCGTGTGATTTTAGATGTTGACGACAGCCAAAGAGTATGGCTTCCGTCTGTCACCGTTCAGCTGAAGAAATTTTTCGCTCATCCAGCCCCTGAGGTCTGACAGGCAGCCTGACAGAACATCAGGGGACTGGGGGTCGCAAAGAGAGGTGAAAAAATAGAGTCGGGTGTCGTCCGTATACATGTGGAAATGTACCCCATATCTGTGGATGACATCCCCAAGAGGGAGCATGTAGATCAGAAAGAGGAGGGGCAATAGTGGCTGGGGTTTGAGGGATCTAGGGAAGGTATTTTGAGGAGGGGGTGATGACAGAAATTTTAAGGGAGGCAATGACTGATCCGGAGGAGAGGGACTGGTTGATGACATCATCCAGTTGTGGGCAGAGGAGGGGGAGCTGGGTGACCAGCAAGTTGATCGGGAGGGGTTTGAGGCAGCAGGTGGTGGGTTTCATTGAGGTGATGGTGGGTGAGAGGGAGAGATACTTATAATAATAACCAGACTTTTTGCATATGATATAGCACCTTATTCATGTTGAAATGTCTCAAAGCACTTCACAGAATGTTTCTGTAAAATGTAGTAATAACTGTATTTTTAGGCAAAAACAGCAGCAGCCAATTTGCGCACACCAGTTATGAAATGAATATCCAATTCTTTACTCTGTACTATTCGTTTTGACCATGATTCCTGTAGCCTATTAGTTAGAGCACTCGCTTTGTAGACGAGAGGACCTGGTTTTGGTTCCCGAGCAGGGCAAAACCTTAGGCAAGTTTCCTTACTCCACACGCCTCTGTTTACCTAGCAGTAAGTAGGAATCCAGTTGTTAGTCGATTGGCGCATCCCTAAATAAAAATAATAATCATTTGGTCAATCCATGACTGTTTGTGGGACACTGCTATGTGCAAATGGCTGCCACGTTTCACCCACAAAATATACAGTCAATTCACTATATAGAATGCAGTATATTCTGTAAAGTGCTTTAAGGCGTCTCAATGACGTGATAGGGCACTAGATCAAATGCAAGGATAATATTATTATTATTTTCTCCAGGTAAGGGAGCTCACTTGCTCACATTCCTTTGCCGATGCCAGTCGATAACTCAGGACTAGAAGCCACCCAGCTCAGCTCTGGTGCCTTTTGCTCTGACTTTCTCTTACCCCATCTCTGCAGGAACGCACTTGAAGAACGCACTCCTCCCCTTACAGTGCCTCCATTTGGAAGCGGGCCACGTGGTAAATTGATTGCTTGAATGTATATGTACCACCAAGCCATGTTATTGCAGTGTACCCTGTACTGCTGGTGTTGCTCAGGATATTTTAATCAAAAAGTGGAGGAAGGGGAGATGAAGAAATGGTGAGTCATTTGTAAAGTGGAGATGATGGCAGACAAAGCAGCTTTGAGTTTTGATTGAATGTTTGTGCTCTGGATGTTCTGCTCACTTAATGAGGCTGAACCTACAGTGATGTTTCTGCAAGATATAAACATTGCACAATTGTAATTTAACCATTCTTTGTAATAACTTATTCTCAGGAGTACAAACTTAAACCTGAACAATTCCCAATTGGTTGGATATTTGGTCCTATCGTTCACTCCAGATACTCAAGTGCAGTTATGTTTATAAAGCCATGGAGGGCGGTTTCTTTCAAAGGTGTAGAGTCTTTGCAGAGGTTGTGGCTGGCAATGTGAATGTTGTTTCATTGGATGGCAGCAACTGAATAGACCAGCCTGAGCTCCACTTCTCTGAGAGAGATTTGTACCAAAAACAAAACTGACCTTAGAGAATCATTTAATCTTAAGGTTTATTCAGGTAAATTTTATTTGAGAGCAAACACACATGGAAAAGGGACAGAGCTGGACATTGTCACTGAGAGGGTAGTCAGCCCAAAATGATAATCCAAAGGGGAAAAGTAAAGTGAAAGAGAACAGTAGAAAAGATGGTGAATGAGGATGTGGATTTTATTATTTTCCTTCGTTTTCCTCGCGGTGGGCAGGAGATGGAGGAGGCAAACAGCTTCTCTTTGAGGCTGGGTCAGCTCCAAAGTGACAAACCCAGGGTTGGAATATCAGAATTGAGTCAACTCTCTATGGCGGTCTTGGTAATAATACTTGCATTTGGTAGTCCACTTCTTGAGCCAGGCAGGACCACGGTTCTCCAGGAAGATGGATCAGTCAGACTGGTTCGTCACCAGGACTTGGAGAGCAGACTGATCTCTGGACCTGTGATTCTTCCCATTCAGCTCCTGTTAATCCTGCAAGCCCTAATGGTTAGGGTGGTCCTAGCCGGATAAGCAGTGAGAAACTTGACAGACAGGTTTCACAATGGCAAGATGTGCAGTCTTAGCTGGTTAATCTCTGGGGTCCCCAAGCTTTGGCTCTTGTAAGCCTGTGCCCAGTCCATTCCAGGATTAGGTGAGTATCCCTCTGGGGCACTCCATATCAAACAAAGAGAAATTTGCATACTTATGTGGAACTCTCAGTAATTTATTTTGGATTTGGGTTTCTTCACAAGTCAGACACTTGGCTGACCAAAATAGCCATTTATTTTGTAAAAGCCATTTGTTTAGGTGTCAGCCAGGCTCAGTTGGTAACACTGTTGTTTCTGAGTCAGAAGATTGTGGGTTCAAGCCCCACGTTGGAGCTTAGAACTCAGTCTATGCTGATGTTCCAACGCAGTGCTGGGGGGAATTGCTGCATTGATGGAGATACAGTCAATATGGACCAAGTTTGAAGCTGAGATCTCGTCACAGTGACCTATGAGTCACTGGATTAAGGCACCGTCAAACCTTTAGCAGACCAAAGTATTGGTTTTCTTTGATTTATTACATCTGGTTCAATGATTACAGATGATTCATTTTATAAAATATTGTCTTTGTCAGCCGAATGATTCAGGGAATGAATTCTTTTTATTAAAAAAAATCTTCAATCGCTATTTGCAGCACTTTAATTATTTTCATAGCTTTGTGCTGTTTCTCCCAAATCTTTATTTTCGGTTTTACTTCTCGACATCAGATCCATTCACAATCAAAGGGAACACTCAGTGCTCTCAGAGAAAATCAATTTTATTTTCTAGTGAAACCTCTTGCAGATCTATTGTTTCTTGACCACATGGGGAAGAGGGACAGTTGCAATGGAACAGTGAATGATGACTAGTAGTAAAACACAACCTTTTATGAGAAGCATATTTTTAATGCTAATATATTTAATAAAGAAGGCTGGATGTTTTTAAGGCAGGTTAGGATGATAATCATAAAACCTTATGTTATTCCAGCCCTCTCAAATGATTTCCATCTACTCCCAGTTTTCTGCTATTGATTTCGACGTGACCGTCCATTTGCTTGTCTTAGAGGAGCTGATAACGGACACCAGGTCTATTGTCGTTTACCTGGGTTTCACTTTCATTTCTAGTCAAAATTTGTTTTGTAAACATTTCAAGAGGTTTACTTTGACATGAAAAGCGCTGGATAGATACAATTTATTATTACTGAATTATAAATGATTCCTTAGTCTTCTCCAATTGAAGGTATAAGTTACCAAATGCTGTCTCATGTAAATCCTACAAAGGGTTACTTCTTTTCTAGGAGTTTAGGAAGAACAAACTAAATGCCCCTTTCAACAACAACAACAAGATTACATTGTATAGTGCCTTTCACGTCGGGAGGACATCCCACGGCGCTGGACAGTGTACAGTATTTAAGACCCGAGCTAGGTAAGGGAGGGGAGGGGAAGGAGGGTGGCTGATGACATGGTCGAAGAGGAGGGTTTTGAGGCGGGACTTCAAGGAGGCTAAGGAGGGGGTGAGGTGGAATGATTGGGGGATG